CCTTGTGTGGGTTTTGCTAAGCTACGAACAATGGGGATCAAGGTGTTGGCAGCCTAAAATTCAGCCTCCTTAACCACACTGAGTGAAGCAGCATGTGAATCACATCAAATGGCAGCGCTGGCCTGTTCAAAACAAAGTGCCTTTGAACTTGCCTCAATCTCTTCTGCATTTTCAGATACTTCTTATCTGATATCCCTTTCAAGATCGTTTTGATTTCGGGTATCCTCTTCGATGGGATATAAACTGAAAACTTGCTCCAATCAAGCACATCGCTAAATGGCAATGCATAATAATCAGATATTATAACAGGAACACACCCCACGGATATTGCCGTTGCCACTCTTGGACTGGCCACCTCGTACCCACTTGGGCACAAGCAAAACTTGCTTTCGCCCATTAATTTGAAGTAATCTGTGTTGTTCGGGAGGTACTCATGGACTCGCACTTCATTGTCCTTGTCTTTCCAGTGTTCCAACAAGACTTTCCTTATGGAACCATGGGCTCCACCCGCGAAGAATGCCAGGATTGAACGTTCCCTTTGGGACAGGTCTACCAGAGGGGGACCAAGCTGGCCTTTGGGAATGATGATTTCTGGCATTGAGACATCTCTTTGAGGCCTGTACTTTTCTGATGTATTGGCGTTGCAGAGGACTCTGATGAAGTTCTTGAAGAGTTCTGGATTGGCATCTCCAATATCCGGTGCCTGCATTAGAATATAAAATGTTAATGATACTAATATTAGGAGGATCAGTCACATGACATTAGTGATAAGATCACTGAAGTTTATGCTATTGTTTTAGAGTTGAAGATAAAATTCATGTTTATATTGTCACTGAACAAAAGTTAATCGTAAAAATCATCTTAATAATTTAAATTTTAAGATTGACAAATTCTCTACATTTTATTAAAATTTCAAATTAAAATCTATAAATATACTTAAATAAAAAATTGTTTTTAAATTCTTATATAATATTTTAATCTTTCATGTTAAGTATCTTCTTTCATAAATTTCATTTTTGAATATTTTTTTTTGTTTTTCTTTAGATTAAGTTATTGTAGGATGAAGTTATAACTGTGTATGAGAGACGAAGTTGTACACCGTTTCTTAGGGAACATGAAGACAATGTACACACCCAATCATGACAAGAAACCAAGAAATGGTCAGCTCCATTGCTTCTATTCCAATATGGGTACTTGTCGGCTATGACGCCAACATAATCGGTCACCACCCATTGTAGCTGAACACGAGAGTAGGTGGTGAGAGGCATGTAGAGGAGTTTGATAATTTTGACCACACTCACGGGGATCAGGAATGCATGCGCCTCGTCAGGATGGCGAGCCAAGAAGTGGTTCTTCTCACTCTCCATCTCCTCGATGAACTGCCCCTCAATGCCGTAGATGTTGTTCAACGGCCCGCCATGGACTAAGGGTGGCTCTCCTTCCCTATAGACCCAGACCTTGAATCTCTTCTCCATTTCAATGTAACTCCTAACATATAAACATATAGTTTTGGTAAATAATGTGTTGCAACATAGAAGTGTAATTGTGGGAACTGCACAAAAGTAACAGGGACAATTATTTTACTTTTTTATTCATTTTTAATTTTGAGATACATGATTCTTTTCAATTTAAATAACGATTTTCCTTATTGAATTAATAGTTTTCGATTTAATAATTTAATCGTAAAACTTTAGACACTAAACATTTTACTTGAGATGATGAACACTGAAGTTGTATACATAACATATTGCAATTACAAGAAACGTTTTGCTTAGTAAACAAAATAAAGTAACCAAAGAAATGGCTATTTAAAAAAGTTATAATATATATTTGTTCTAATTGTAGACAAGAGAGAGGATATGGCGTCCACTTTCTTAAGTTGTAATGAAGGGGATTATAGTACTCTAATGGAAATTACTCCAATAACAGCAGGTTATCCTCAAGATTTACGCTCCAATAAAGTCATTTGACCGCTAATGTCCACATTCATGCTCAAATTAATGGAATCACGCCTTGTCTTAAACACATGCAACTTTTCACTGAAGAGTCGTTTTAAACAGGATGCTATAGTATCCTTAGCAATCAACCAAAAGTGACTCATATGCGCTTGCAAGCCAGCCAGCCTCAGCCATATAAGAAAGCTCAGAATTCCAAGACGGGATTGCAGTAAACGTGTAATGCACATTTTCAATGTTTCGCATGAAATCAAGGCATGACAACGAGCACAAATGTAGAAGGCAAAGAAAATTGAATCAACTTATATGGTAAGGGGTGCCCGTATTTACTGTGGAAAATGGTTCCTTCACCATCCTATGTTGCCCTGCCACTTCTTAATTATTGACTCTCATCCGAGGGATGCACCCCCGTTTGTCAAATCATTCTACAGTATGAACACTTTGAACCGTGAATTACACTGCTAATCAACACTTAAAAGAGTTTTTTTTTTTGGAGAAGTAATCAACACTTACGAGTTAGTCAACATACCTAATTTTATCATTAACATTAAAAACAGTTTATGAATGTGAAATAAAATAGGATATATGACATGAAAAAGGAAAAAAATTCTTAACTGATGAAAAGCATATGGATTTCTGTAAATGATTCCTCTGGGAATGTAAGTTTCCTCCTTGTATGACGTATAGTTTTGTGAACGAATTGCTTCACGTATAGCCTCTCGTGCTTTGGTCAAACCATCTTCAACTCTCTCTAAACTGCTCTTTTTCTATCCAAATAATGAAAAGAAAAAAAACCAATGATGAATGACCCAAAGAGCAAACATTAAGCACTAACACAGAAAAGGTTTCTACCCATTTAACAAAGAAAATTGAAAAACAATAACAAATAGTGAGAAATCGATATATAAAGCACTTAAACAGATGAGATATCATCAAAGGAATGAATATTGCGTACTTTCTTAGGCCTTGAAACGACATCCCCACCAGTAGTAGCACCATTAAGGGATGGCAGAGGAGCTGCTGGTGCAAGCGGTGAAGCAGCTGATGACAGTGGAACCGTTAATGGAGAGACTTGTGGGGTTTTTTGATTGGTTTTAGTACTGGAATTAGGAGCGAAGATGGAGAAGGAAATGGTAAAGTTGCTTTGGCTCAAAGGAGATAAAAAGAAGATAACAAGCAAAAAGAGAAGCGAAGCTGGCAATAGCAGAAAATGAATGTGGCAGCCAACTTCTGCCATCGCCTCTCAGTCCTCTATAGAGTATTAGACTGAGAGAAGAGTAGAAAGCATGGTATATCAAACATAAAGCTTGCTTATGGTTTGTGAGCGATTCCTTGCAAACGTTCACTTCTATTTTGCGGGATGCAAATGGTTTCGGAAATAACATTTTTTTCCAAACCAAACATCATATATGATTAAGGCTGTGATGCTGATTATATATATATTTGGCTGTTTGTTTAAGGACCTTGACTGACTTCATTGCAGATTTTGACTGATTTTGGAAGGAAAAAAATTCGTTAACCGAAAGAAATGCAGTTAAAATACAGTCTTGCAAAGCGTGGCAATTAAGGTGGACATGTTTTCAGCAATTTGTTTGTAATCCTTCCGAGACTTGTTAATGCCATTAAAAGTTAGAATAAGACATACTATTATAGTATTACAGAAAAGAAGAATTTTTACGTAATGAATATTTGGAATCTTAATTCCGTCAAGAAAAAAGTCTTTGAGGGGGATGAAATGTATGGTCTTATCGTTTTCACATGGTTAAAGAATTAAGAAGATAGAAGAAATCAGCTGTTGAACCTTCTCATGCGCCTGGGCAGTCGTAGTCGTTGCAGGAGTAGGGAACGGGGCAAAGGAAAAAACGTTCCACAAGGTTGTTTCATTCTAATGTTCTCATATGATTTAATTAAGTAATGATCAGGAAAGCAAAACATCATCCTTCCAATGCATTTCGTCGTTGACGGGGCAGAATACAAAGCTCAGACGCCCGGGTCTTGAGTCTAAAATATGGAGCTACCATTCCATTTTTCTCCCTATTTGTCAGTAGGTTATTGTTAGACTGAAGTTTTATCCATTCAAGCATGACCCAAAGCCGAAAGGGCAAAGAGTCAAGTATAAAGACCCGCTCGTTTTTTCCAGGTGCTCCGGATATTAAGAATCAGAGTGCAAAACAATCACGGACTAGGAATATGAACCCTCTGAGTGAACAGTCTATAGGCTGATCATTTGTGTTTCTTCCTTAATTTTCCACAGTTTCAGACTTGATTTCAATGGAATTTTTCCGTATGGAAAACATGAAAAGGAAGGGAGAGAACGATTTCTGGGGACGTGGGTTCACACTCATAAAGAAAATGTTACTCTTGCAAAGCAAGGCATAAGGTGCACCTGTTTCCAGGATTTGTTATAATATGTATGAGCCATTAAAATAGAGTTAAATGCATATAGAAAATAAAGGTGTTAGAAATCAATCTTGTAGCCTAAGGTTAAGCCTTCTAAGCCATATGGAGTGAAGCACCATATGAATGATATCAAAAGGCTTAGCTGGTCTGTTAAGCTCAAAATGCCTTCTCAATTTCAACACCCTCCTCTGCATTTCCAGATATTCGTTTCCCGGAATACTCTGCAGGATCGTCTTAATTTCTGGTATCTTCTCCACCGGAATCTGGACTGAGAACTTGCTCCAGTCAAGAACATCACTGAATGGCAGGACATAGTAGTCAGAAATGATCACCGGAACACACCCTGCATGAAATGACTCAACAACTCTAGGACTGGCCACTTCAAACCCACTTGGGCACAAGCAGAACTTGCTTCGTCCCATTATTTTACTGTAATCTTGGCCTTTAGAAAGGTACTCATGGACTTGAACTTCGTTATCTTTGTCCTTCCAATGCTGGAGCAAGATTTTACGAATTTTTCCATGGGCACCGCCCGCGAAGAAGGCTAGAATGGTGCGCTTATCAGGAGGTTGGGCGAACCTCCGTGGGCTAAATCCTCGTGGAGGCAAGTATAATTCTGGCAATGCAACGTCTCTCTTGGGATGAAATCCTTCGGTGCTGTTAGCATTGCATAGCACTCTTATCAAATTCTTGTAAAGTCAGGGTCCTGCCCCGATACTTCTGGTGCCTAAAATGTTGCGACTAAACAAAGTTAGAATCAAGATTGAAAACCTGTGAACTATGTTTATTTAAACAATCAGTCAATTAATTAGAAAAAAAGATTATCCAGGTTAAGATGGTTACGCTACTCGGATTAACATAAAGGCAATGCTATTTACGCCCAAAATCAGTGCGACCATTCACTATGAAGGCACATAAAAAAATCAAAAGACAGTACAGTTTTATTTAATATATTAATATCCGAACGAACCCAATTTTATAAAAAAAGAATGCCAAAGCTTGATACTGGTCAGGCTAGACCAACGAGGTTGGCGAGCAACCAAACTATACAGATAAAAAATTTAGGTGGGCTTGATGATGGAGTTAAAATGAACATACCCAATCATGGCATGAGACCATAAAGTGATCAGCTCCTCTGGTTCTATTCCAATATGGGTACTTCTTGGCCACGACTTTGATGTAATCAGTGAAGATCCTCACCAAACGATCACGAGAGTAAGTGGTGATAGGCAAGTAGACGTAGTCAACAATGTATGCTACGCTAACTGGTAGGAAGAATGCATGGGCCTCATCAGGATGCTGTGCCTTGAATGGGCTTCTCCCACCCTCCATTTCGTCGATGAACTGACCCTCAATCGCATAGACGTGTTTCATGGGCCCACTGTGGACCAGGGGTCCATATCTTGAATCTCTCCACCATTTCTATGTGACTCCTGATTCGATCCAAACCAAAAGGTGTAAAACAAGAATTGCAATTATTTGTTAGCTTTGACAATATTTGGTGCAGTTTTAACGAAGTGTATTTATGGTTATTCAAAAAAGTTTATCTAATAATATCGATACGAATAGAAAATCAAGCAAAATGGAAACTTTGGACTAAAATCATACTTGGAAGAAAAGGAAATTCAGAAAAATGAGAAAAAACGAGATCATGATCTCTGCTATTGCCATGTATGGATAGCCTTGACATGTGTACAAAGACTAAGGTGGGGGGGTCATAGGCATGCCCCATTACTACTCATTGTAATGTTAAAAATGGCATTCTGTTTTCACTTTTACATGCCGCATGCATCTTCGCCACATCTGAAACATTCAGACCCCTAAAAGTAATTTAAGCATGTCAATCTCTTGGAATATTGGTCATCTCCATTTACCTTTCATCTTAATTCTGTTCGATTAATGCACCACAAGGAAAATGAACTAAAATCCTAGAAATTCTTTGAGTTTGGTGGCATGAACTGTGAAACATGCAGAATAGGAAAAAACCAAGCCCTGAAAATGATGGTAGGATATTAAACTTCTGAGAATGAAAAAAGCCAGCATTTTCTGAAATTTCCAAAGTATAAAGCCAGCTTTACATCAGAATAACCCACAAATTATACCATTCCAAGAAAGTGCAAGTATTTTCCTTAATTGGAAAAAAACAAGGAAAATATTGCATACCAAATAAAAAAACGTCGTACCTTTATATAGGCTTATACTATTATTTGATTAGTACCTTAAAATTATGAGCATTAAAAAGTTGATAAACAAAGCTTTAAAGTTACAGAGTTCTCTTCAGATTACTTAACTGATGAAAAGCGTATTCGTTTCTGTACATGCACCCTCTGGGGATGAATTTTTCCTCCTTATATGATGTATAATTCCTTCTGCGGATCGCTTCACGTATTGCCGCTCGTGCGCTAGCCAAGTCTGCTTCAACCCTCTCCGACCTACTCTTCTACTCAAACAATGAACGAACTGGGAATCAAATGATCGTGAACTTTCAAAACAAACATAAAAAACCAATGTTCAGAAAAACTCATTGATTGTATATTATTAGCCTACCCTAATATAGCTAACAGCGTTGTAACTTGGTGTAGAAGGAGAAGGTGAGGGAGATATGTCAAATGAAAGTTCTGGAAGAAGTTGTTTGGTGCTGTGGTTGGAATTTTGATAGGTGAATGTGGTGGAAAATGAGGGGAAAAAGATGAAGAGATTTTTCTGGTACACGGGAGGTGAGCAGAGGAGAATAAGAAGAAGGAAAGCTGGAAAAAGCAGAAGTGTTGGGGCGCAGCTAAAGGTTGCCATGGCTGCCGCTTCTTTCAGTTTTCCTGCACTGATGCTCAGTTATATATCCTTCGGTTTCAACGTTTTACGAAGAGACACAGAGAGAGAGGGAAGGGGGGATTTATCTGGGGTATGTAAGAAGTTGTCCAACTAAGCATTGCCAGCTCCTTAATTAATGGAATAATCTTCTTATGGCAGGAACAGGTTTCTCAATGCTTTTCTTTTCGAATCCAGATCATTTAATTCAAAGCTTAATTGAATCTACCATTTTAATCAAATCAAAAGGTTTTGGGGATTAATGAGATTAAATTTAAATTGTAGTTTTCAATGATAAAAGGTTGGGTTATGTAAACGTTTGATGCTGTATTGAAAACAATGGGTGCACTCTTCTCTCTTTCTTAATTACATCATTTCTTTTCTTTGGACTACATATTTCCAATATGACTATTTTTAGCCTACCATGTATTTTTAATTGAAAAGCACCAACGCTTTCAATTTTATGGATCACAAATTGTGTCTATTGACATTGAACCTTTTTTTTCTCTCTCTTTCCTCAAACCCAATGTCTTGATCTGAAGCTTTCCAGCAACATATATGGATTTTAATAGCAAATTTTATTTTTTAAAACTTTTATTTATTAGTCAATTAATATTATTTACCATATTCTTTAATAAAACATCACATGCGACAAGCCATGATAGCGCTATAAAAATGATACGGTTTAAAAATACATCTTAATGAACTATTAAATATTGAATTTAACTTATATTAAGATCCTCTTAAAAAGTGAGATTTAAAATATTTATTAAAATAATAAGACTTCATAATTTTTTGAAAAGGGTCTAATTATTATTATATAGGATTATTTATCCAAATCAAACCTCATTAATTCAAGGATAATTTATCTAAAAATCTGTAATTAACTTTAAAAATAACCAACTCTAAAGGAAACAGGACTAAAAACAAAATGACTGAGACTGAGGGTCTATCAATTCTTCTTACCGGACTGCTATTTTAACTAGGGTTTGTTAACCCAAGTCTTCGGAATTGTTCAAAGGCCAACATCTA